ATTATTTATATAATAGATATTTTCATAGATAAATTAAATATTTTCCCAGTTATCACGGTGATAACTATCAAAATATTTATTATGTCACAGTGGCGAAAAACTTTGAACGAAAAATTTCAATTCTCTATTAATCATAGAGAGAAGGATATCTCAATTAACACGAGAAGCTTGTTCCAATACCACACTTAACTATCAAAATATTCGTTATGTCACAGTGACAAAAAATTTCGAATGAAATATTTGAATGAAGTGTATTAACACGAATAAACACATTCCAATGTAATTCACGCGATAGACAGACAAACTGTGGTCTATGGTTGCAAGTCCTAAGAAGCGGAAAAGTAAAGTACTTTTCTGCACTATGAATTCATAAAGGAAACGTCCCGCGTGAACTCCGTGTGCAAGTACTTTAGCTTGTATGATCAGCACACACCGGTCTCGTCCAATTCCTGGCTACAAGTTAGGAATAGTCGACATTGTTTGCCGAACTCTCCATCGACTTAGGGTAAAATTCCTCGAAGACGAAGACTTACCGGCTAAGCTAACGTCTGAGCCACAATGAGCCTCGGCAACTCAACGTACTAATTACTTCCACTTTCGATTGTGTGTATTTAAATAGTGCTCGCACGTGTTGCATTTAAAGTACATCTCGATGTCTCTCTGTTTCCTTGATTTGAAAAATGTTATCGCGTGGACATGGAGAAAGTGCATACAGTAGTGATTAAACATCGAGGGAATATCACTTTTCGAGAGATTTAGTGATAATTGTGTTTCTCCGGTTTCAGATGAAAATTCATTCTTGCTGCTTTTATTTAGGATAATAATAATTATATTTATTCAACTTTTCTCCATTTTAGGGTGAAAATCAATGCTTACTGTTTTTATTTAGGATAATAGAATTTTTTTATCTTTGGGGAAAAATGTATCTGTGTACTCCATAATGTTTAATCTTCAGGAAAATGGTTCATCTCTTAACCCTTTATGACCCCATGTGACTTGGAAGTTACGTATCCATTTATTTATATTTTGCCAGTCTCTTTAATTTATATATATATTACAGTCTCAATTTATTTATATTAATTATTAATTCTTGCTTCTTTCGTTAAAATTTGAAATTATAATCAAACCTAATTTTTCTTCTCCGAAAACGAAGAAAAATCATGCCGTACACGGTTAAGTACGAAAATTATTCGCTTCTTATCGTTAGATCTCATTGTCAGCGGAGAAGAAACCACCGATTTCTTCTCATAAATTTACATTACGAAATTATCATTCACTGAAAGGCACAATCAAGCAGACGTGGTGTCGTCAGGCACGATTGTGATTTACGAAAAACGTTTCCATACTGAAAAGGGAATGTTCACCGTTGAAGAATATCCATTCCGGCGTGTTGGCGGGAGCTTACGTATTCAAGGAATATATCGATTACCGTAACTTCTTTCCACCGTGCCGTTAACAATTCTCCTCGTCGAAGTCGTAAGGAAACATAACGACGGAATACGGAATGAATCATGCTAATAAAGGGGTGCTTTAACGGATAAACGCATGCACAGGTGGAGGAATCTCAATTGTATTTTAACCGTGGCTCGTCGTGGAGATCAACAAGATCGGTAATGCGATCTGTTCTGCTCGCTTTGCTTCTATTTTCTTTAACTGCAGCTAAACAGCAACTCAGACGTCGGTTAACAAAGGCGTGTGTTTAAAACGCGTTTATAAAGCGATTATGGTCGTAAGAGGTTGTAACAATAAACGTCATTGAACGGTTATAAACGGGATGTCCGAGTGGATTAGTTAATAACGTCAGTTACTATCCCCGGGGTAAAATGTTAAATAAAATAATTTCGAACTGATTCATTGTTGCGATAAATGCGCGACCGATTCAAGTGTAAACATACACACGGACCGAGTGAACCGTTGTTGAATGAGAGAAAAGAGAGAATGTTTTTCAAAGAAGGGTGGTGAATCGAACTGCAAGACCGTTTATTTAAACTTGCAATTTATGCACGTCTGTTCATTACGCTTGTACACGCGCGCGCTCGCGCCTTGATATTTATTAGCTGCAATCAGGTTTTGTTACGACGCACAGTAGCGGCTGATTGCGTATGATCAT